GCGGTATGGTCCCAGTGGTAGTTGTTTCAATACGGTGACTTATTTTCAGGACCGGGACTACTACGACGGTTTTCCTAGGTTTGGAACCTTGGCGGCAGTTTATTTTCAGGATTCGGTGATGGTACCCTGGTTTGGCGTCGGTATGGTGCAAGCCACTGTATTATTTTTCAGGTTTGGTGATGGTATGGATTCCCTGGTTCGGGAGCGGTATGGTGCACGCCACTGTATTATTTTTCAGGTTCGGTGATGGTATGGATTCCCTGGGTCGGCATCAGTATGGTGCTTGCCACTGTATTATTTTCAGTGAAAGAAAGAGTGCTGGGCCACTAGTAAAAGTTGGGCCACTTGAATTGGTCCACTAGTAAATCCAGGCCGTTGGGGTTCTATATGGGTCCCGCTGCACTGGCGTTGGGCCTGGGACCTTAAACCTGTTTTGTACCTTTAGTCTACGAAGGCCTACGGGTGGGGACTGGGCCGAAGTCCACGCTGGGCTGGATCAGGGAACCATATAGGGAAGAGGGACAGAAGGCAGAGGGGAGTGGTGCAAGGTGTACACAGTGAGTGAAAGTTGTCCAAGACGTACACCGCGGGAGGGAGACAAGTTTTGCACCGCGGGAGAGAGAATGTGCCCGGTGTACACCAGGAGACAAGTTTTGTACCAGAGAAGAAAGGTGTGCCTGGAGAGCGCCGCGGCAAAGCACTGATCAGAGGGGGAAAGCTCATTTGAGAGGAAAGGAGAAGCGGTGCCTGGTGTACGCAGCGGTATGCGTAGGGAAAAGCGGAGTTCAGAAGGGAGGTGTGCCTGGTGTACAGGGGGAAAAGCTCGTTTTCGGGGAGAAATGGGCCAGGCGTACCAAGTACAAGGGCCCCACAAGTGAGGGTATCTGTAGGCTTTCGCTAAGCCAAGGAAGCATGACGATCACTGCTGTGAGATGTGGGACACGAAAGGAAGATCGGAGATGAGCAGTTGACGGGACCTGCCATCCCGCATATTCTGCCATTGATTGGTGCCGCTATCCCGCTAGTGTTAATGATAGGTCTTGCTATCCCGCTAGTGAGAAGAACAGCTATACTCGTTGTTGATTGGGTCTGCATTCCCTCTAGTTGAAGGAACATCCACTCTTTGTCGCTGAGCTGTTGACTGGTTCTGCTATACTGGTAACGAAAAGTACAGTCTCATTCCGCTGATGATGAGATCTGGTATCTGTTGTTTGGGGGATAGCGCCCACACCAATGAATGAATCTGGCCGGA